GATGTGAATGGAAGGGGAGAGGGAGTGGGAAAGGGGAGGGTTGTGGGTGGGAGGGACGGTATGGGGGGGAAGCCATTGTAATCCATAAATCGTACTTTGGAAATTTATATTCATTAAATAAAAGTTTAAAAAAATAATTAAATAAATAAATCTTTAAACAAAAAAACAAAAACAACAACAACAAAAAAGAGTCATAGTACTTCTACAGTGATGGTGTCATTTCCCGAAGACTTGCTGCCAGTGTCAGGCTCTCTGTTAAGTGTTTTGTAGCTGGTATCTCTCTTAATCTTCACAACAGCTTTCTGTTTTATTATAAGGTGACCCTTACATTATAATTATTTCTGTCTAATGGATCAAGAAACAGACACATAATAAATCTCTGACTGACCGGTTAGTGAGACCATAGCTCGTGTAGCTGGTGAGCCTGGACTCCACATCTGAGGTCCGGTTTTTAAAAATTAATTGAATTGAGAGACAGGGAGAATATTCACCCACTGACTTACTCCCCAAAAATGTCTGCAATGGCCAATACCACGTGAGGCCAAAGCTAGGAGGCAGTAAGTCAAACCAGGTCTTAGACGTAGGTCGTAGGAACCCCATCACTTGAACAATTTCTGCTGCCTCCCAGGATCTGCATTAGCAGGAAGCTGGAGACAGAAGCTAGAGCCTGGCATTATGCCGAGGTACTCCACTGTGAGACGTGGGCATCTTAACTGCTAGGCCAGATGCCCACCCACTGAGTTCCATTTAGCACTAGAGTCGGGGCTCTAGACTTGGCTGTGGACCTAATCTGATGTGTGAATTGGTTTGGAGCCACCCCTTTAACTTTCCTAACTTTCTAAACTTTAAAAATGGAGAACTGATGTGTGACACCGGAACATACAGGAACCGTGTTGCTAGCTCAGCAGCTTCACCAAGGACACCCACCTGCCTAACCAGGCCTGGATCAAGGAACGGAGCAGGTCCTGTGCCCCAGAAGATCCACTTGTGTCCTTCTAGTCACTGAGAGCAGCCAGCATGCTGACTCATCGTCAGTACCTCAGATGAATTTCCCTTCTGTTTGAGCTTCTGCAGAGCAGTCATACCGTATATGAGGGTACTTTAGAATGTTAGTGGGAAAATAGAATTAAAATGTTTTTTGTGTAAAAGAGTTTGAAACTCATGCACAATGTGTTATTTTTTATTTTTATTTTAACAGGCAGAGTTAGAGAGAGAGACAGAGAGAAAGGTCTTCCTTTTTCCATTGGTTCACCCCCCAAGTGGCCACTATGGCCAGCACATTGTGGCTGGCGCACTGCACCGATCCGAAGCCAAGAGCCAGGTGCTTCTTCCTGGTCTCCCATGCGGGTGCAGGGCCCAAGGACCTGGGCCCTCCTCCACTGCCTTCCCGGGCCACAGCAGAGAGCTGGACTGGAAGAGGAGCAACCGGGACTAGAACCTGGGGTGCCGGTGCTGCAGGCGGAGGATTAGCCTAGTGAGCCACGGCCGCTGGCCAACAATGTGTTATTAATATACATTGTTCATGAACATTTTGAAGACTTCTCATATGCATAGATTTCAGAATATTTTAATAACAAGTTTATGTTAAATTTTTTGTTGTTTATTTGAAAAGCAGAGAGGGAGGGAAGGAGGGAGAGGGAGGGAAGGAGAGAGAGGTCAGTAGAGAAGGTAAGTTTCCTTCTGAAATCATGATGTGCCAGCTATCAATGTGGCCCTTTCTTGAAGAAGCACTGAATGACTACTTCGAATGGGTCTCATTTGCTCCTCTTGTTTCCTTCTTGTCCCTCCCTATCCCATCCTGGTTTGTTCTTTTGATTGGGTTCCCAGCACTGCAGGCAGCGCCTGCTTCCCCCAGGCCCTCTGTGACTGATGTATTAACATCCATATGGGTTTCCCCCAGGGTGGACGATGTTCACAGCTTCGGGCAGCGGCTGCTCACACTGTGAATCAATTTAAAATTGCCTCCATATGATAATCACAGGCCTCCTGCACACGGCCACCTGGGAGAGAAGTGGGTGTCTTCCAAAGACCTGTACACAGATCTCCTGTCTGTGTTGTGTGCATCTGTTTTAATCTGGTTCATTTAACTCTGTAAGAAGCTGGGTTCCAGGGGAAGGAAAATTTAAAATACTTCTGTCTCTCTCTTTCTCTCTCTCTCTCTCTCTCACTGTCCACTCTGCCTGTCAAAAAAAAAATAATAATAATAATACCCCACTCCTGAGAATCTGGGATTGCTGAAAAGGCGTCTAAAGAAAGCTTGGGCTTATCTGCAGGTGTCCACCTGAGAGCACACAAAGGGAAGCTGACCTTCACACGTGCCATTTCTCTCACACCACAAGGAGCACTGGGAAGTGGATCCCTGCTCCACTTTCCAACACCATTCTTATGAAATAGAGGCAGCTTGATTGCTTTATTTTATAGAAACTCACTTGTCATTTCTTTAGCATCACCTGGGTATTCGTATTACTTTTATTTATGATGATTATTATTATTGTTATCATTATTGTATTTGAAAGGCAGAACTACAGAGAGAGGGAGAAACAGATACCTTTCATCCACCGATTCATTCCCCAAACGGTCACAATGGCTGGGGCTGGCCCAGCCAAAGCCAGGAGCCTAGAACTTCATCTGGTTTCCCACATGGATATAGAGGCCCAAGTACAAATGCTGCTTTCCCAGACCCATTAGCAAGGAGCTGGATCAGAAGTGGAGGAACTGGGACTCCAGTTGGCGCTTGTATGGGATGCCAGAGTCGCAGGCAGCAGCTTGGCCTCCCGCGCCACAATGCTGGCCCCGTTTGTTAGACTTTTAGACCCAGGTCATGGCACCTGACATCTGAGTCACATAGTCTGAAATTAGACTTTGTCTTAAAGACTCCTTCAGAGTTCAGAAATGGTTCGCAGTGAGTAGATGTAAACCTTCACTTTTCTGTGGTCTCGCCTTCACAGGCCACAAAATGCTACTTGATTACAACTCCAAATATCCCCTCCTAAGCAGCATAGGTTCCTGTGCACCTGACTAGAATGTGTGTATGTTAAAGTTTCAGTGGATTTGATACCTTGCTAAGTACCCCCAAAGGATCTTGTTGGATGAAAACTAGGAACTTTAGAGATTGTGTGAGGTGAGGGCTTTGAGCTTTATTGTTTTGCATATGTTTTAATTCCCTGGACATGTTCTCATGATACATGCTCAGTTAATCATATTAATATTAAGCATTTGGGCCAAATAGCCATTTAATATTAGTTCTTGAAGCCAGTTTAGGAGATAACAGGCTTCTAAGATCATGTCCTTTGCAGTTTAAATGTCCTTCTTGTGTTTGCTATTTTGCTTTTACACAAGCAAAATAATAGCATATATTTTATTGTCAAGCTAAAGTGAGTTTTAATTGCAGGCTACTGGAGACCTAATCTCTTGTATCACTTTCAATTTTGTGCCTGCTAAGATGTTTTACAAAATCCAAGTTACTATTAGAATGAAAATTAAACTCTGTGGCAATACTCATGGTGTTTACAATGTAAGGGTGTGGGTGACAAGTTCCAGAAAGGGCCCAGACTCATCTTGGGGGGTTATGGGAAGTAGGAAACAGTACATACTTTATTTATTGTTGATGGTTTGAGCTTCTAGATTTCTTAGTGATGTCTCAGGGAGGAAAGCAAAAGTAGTGGTGTTCAGAGTGGGGGTTATGTTATTGTGTCAGATGGGATATGGAATAAGAGTTTTAGCTCTTTTGTTCTGTTTACAAAGTGCCTTTTCTTTGTGCACTTTTTAAAAGGACTGCAGTGTATTAGCTTTTGGAGTTTAAATGATAATTTAGTCCATTGGAATTAAAAAATAATCTTTAGAGTTTTGGTGTGGAACTGGAAGTATACAACTAGGAATAGGTTCATTTGTATTTAACAGGGAAAGAAAATGATAGCTGAAATAATGTGGGAATTTATTTATTTCTCTCGTAAAAGACAATGGCTCCCTGCAGACAAGAGGAAAATATCACAGCTCCATTATGTCACAGGGGCCTCTCTGCTTCCTCACTTTCTGTTCTCTCCTTCAGCACTTGATTCCATTTCCAGAGTAACCTGGTAGCCTAACAGGGCTGCAGGATCTCCACTCACGTTGCTTATAGTTCAGGTGGAAGGAAGGACGAAGCAAAGAGGACGGCCATGTCCTTTCTTTTTAATTAATAAACTTTATTTTTTAGAACAGTTTTAGGTTTGTAGCAAAATTGAGCAGAAAGTACACAGAGTTCCCATACCCTTCCTTTCCTCCCTCCCTTCTAAATGAAGAATTTCCTCAAACTGCCATCCGGGAGCTTAGGCTGTTGGTCAGAATTTGGGAACACCTGGCTGAAGGGAACCTGGGAAGAGTAGTGTTTTAGCTGGGAGCTCAGTGCCTTAGAAAAATCTCCAAGGATCACGGCCAAGGTAGTCAAGGGAATTGTTGGGATGTAAATCCCGGTCACAAAGCTATTGGACGTGGGAGAATCTTACTTTCTCTTGCTTATGGAAAAGGGACTTTAAGCCCAAGCCTTAAACTGATGTGTTTGGAAAACTGTTCTTTTGTTTGTTAACATTGAAATATACTATTTATATAATTATTGTGCGTTTTAGGAGCTCTATCTTAGGCACTGACAATAATTGTTCTAAATTATACTAAGAAAGCACATGATTATACAAGGTACATGGAAGGACTTATTTTATGTTAATTTGGAAGCACGTTAAATGTTTTACAGTGGGATTTGAAGGGGTGCTTCATAGAATGGGTTAGCACGGTTTTTAAATCTTAAAAAAATTCTAAAAATATAGTTCAACATAGGTGTCTTTTGGTACACTGTGGATTCTGTTTACTTTTAATTTATTGCATTGTAAATACTTCACCATGTACAGATTTCAAAAGGAAACTTTGCTTTTCTCTGTGTTTCCCTTAGAGCAGTGCCGAGGTCCTAAACACTTCCTTTATGATAAATGAGTCTTCTGTTTTCTTTCCAATTGTCCCCTCTCCAAAAGTGCATACTCCTTCCATGTGACTGCAGACGGCCAGATGCAGCCAGTCCCCTTCCCCCCCGACGCCCTCATCGGACCTGGGATCCCCCGACACGCTCGCCAGATCAACACCCTCAACCACGGGGAGGTGGTGTGCGCCGTGACGATCAGCAACCCCACGAGGCACGTGTACACGGGCGGCAAGGGCTGCGTCAAGGTCTGGGACATCAGCCACCCTGGCAACAAGAGCCCCGTCTCGCAGCTCGACTGTCTGGTGAGTGAGCAGGAACTGGTGCATGGGGGTAATTTCTCCCTGGAGACTCAATAAGGAAATAACTGTCCAGGCCCGGGTTTTATTCCCATTATGAGGAAATGGAAGCCCCTTCTGTTTCCTGTGTTAGTTACTTGGCTCCCCCACCCAGCCTGCTCCTATAACCCTGAAGCTTGCATTTGTTGCTGTTGCAGTGGTTACATTTCAAAGTGGGTGGATTTCTTGTTTTAAACACTGTCTGGTGGCTTACAGAATTTCTCCTTGTGTGGGTGTGTATCATGCTGAATTTTCCCATTTAGTGGGCCCAAGTATGGCCATGCCTGGACTCTGATCCCTGCAATCTACTTTAATTTCCCTATATCCTTCAGATAAACATTGCCTAGTAAACATTGGATAACATGGCATAAAAACCATTCTGAACAGGGTCTGTGTTTTTAAGGGAGCCCTGGGACAGCTGGTTGGGTTTTATGACCTTAACTTCAGGAAAGGGTGAAAGGGTCACCTTGCAAAAAATAAGGGCAGTAGTCAGGAGAACAGGAGCCACGAGAATGCTTTCATGGTCCCTGTACCGTGTTGTGCATATTTCAGGGTCATCCCAGATACAGGGACAAGTTCCTGTCTCTCAGGTGTAACCCAGCATTTACAGACCACATACCATTGGCCCTAAGCAGACTCATGGCTGCCTGCCCTGACCCGTGGTGTGGGCCTGACCTCCACTGCTGCACTTGGTGCCACATACCTGCTGCCCGCCTGACAAGCACAGGAGTTCCAGAAAGTTTTTCCAAAAAGCAGAGTGACAGGGTTTTTGAAGCACAAAGACTTTTTGAGGGTAGTTATTTGTGTAAAAATTTTTTAAAGATTTATTTATTTATTTGAAAGGCAGAGTGTCAGAGACAGAGGGAAAGACAGAGAGATCTTCTATCCACTGGTTCACTCCCCAAATGGTCACAATGGCTGGAGCTGGGCTAGGCCAAAGCCAGGGGACAGAAACTCTATCCAGGTCTCCCATGTGGGTGCAGGAGCCTAGTGCTTGGACCATCTTCCTCTGCTCTCCTAGATGCTTTAGCAGAGAGCTGGATTGGAAACAGAGCATCCGGGAATCTAACCAGTGCTCTGATATGGGATGCCGGCTTTGCAGTTGGTAGCTTAACCTGCTGTTCCACGACACTGGCCCCTTTGTAATTTTTAGAAATCAGATAATTTACAAACATCTTCGTTAGTGAGACTTGTACTTAAAAACAGCCCAATATTCTGTAATAGTGGAAGTAGAATTTTATGCTTAAAGTTTTTTCTAATCTTTGGAAGATGGGCCATTGCTACAGAGTACAAACTTCAGCTCTGTTCCTTTGGGTTGAAGTTGGAAGACAGCATTCCCTTTTTCTGAAGGTGCGCTCAGGTTGTGTCCCTCCTCCTCTTCTCATAGGAACAGTGTGGATGGAGAGATGCCCTCTTTTCTCTGTTTCTGTGACTTCTGTGTTGGACAGGGTTAAATGTGACAGCAGCCCTGTTATAGCTTGAGAAAGTAGCTCTGTTAAATTCTTAGATAAGCATCCTTCCTGCTAATGAAGACACAGTGCAGCGTTTTGTAGCCTTTAAGAGTAATGAAATCCAAACCATAGACAGTGAGTCTGCAGTTTCTCACTAGTAAATAATGGAGAGTGAAGGGATGAATGATTTATTTTTTCTTTCTAAAAATTTATTTATTTATTTCAAAGAGTTAGAGAGGAGAGACACATACATAGAGAAGAGCTGCAACAGCCAGGGTTGGGCCAGGCATAAGCCAGGAGCCAGGAGCTTCTTCCAGGTCTCCCACTTGGGTGGCAGGGGCCCAAGTTCTCGCGCCGTCCCCCACTACTCTCCCAGGCACACTACCAGGGAGCTGGATAGGAAGTGGAGCATACAGGGTTCGAATCAGTGACTGTGTGGGATGCTGGTGTCTCAGGCAACATCTTCACCCACTACGCCACAATATCGTCCCAGGGGTTGAATGATTTATAAAGTGGTTTTGACAAGGGTCTCTTTCGTAGAATAAATGTTCATCTAACCTGCACCCAGGGAGTTTCAGTTCTATGTTTGCACCAGGAAATCATGACTAGTTATGACGGCTTTCAAACCTAACCAAGCCATCCTACAAGTTTGTGTCCCTTAAGATTTTGAAGGTGACAGTTTCAGTCAGGTCCTAAGCTTTACTCCCAGGTAGGGGGCACGTGAAATACCACTCGTAAGTCAAAGCTAGAGGCAGCAGTTAGGGAACACGGTGCTGTTCCTGCTTGGTGTAATGCATCGTAGCAATTGAATTATGTTTCTTTCACAGAACAGAGATAATTACATCCGTTCCTGTAAATTGCTACCTGATGGCTGCACTCTCATAGTGGGAGGGGAAGCCAGCACTTTGTCCATTTGGGACCTGGCGGCTCCCACCCCGCGCATCAAGGCAGAGCTGACATCCTCGGCCCCCGCCTGCTACGCGCTGGCCATCAGCCCCGATTCCAAGGTCTGCTTCTCCTGCTGCAGCGACGGCAACATCGCCGTGTGGGACCTGCACAACCAGACCTTAGTGAGGTGAGCAAAGATGGTTTGGAAGGGTGTTTTCCTCCTCCTGTAGTGGGCTCAGGAGGTCTCCTGTTGCCTCTACTGCTCTCTGTTTGCGCCAGGCACTCAGCTTAGGCATGATGAAGCTGCTGTCTGTCGGACTGGGTGCTGGTGTTGAGGATGCAAAGACAGAACTGTGCAGCTGCTTTTGGGGGTGTCGCAGTGTGGCTGCTGTGCCCAAGTGACACCAAGACTTGATCTCCTTAGTGTTCCCACTCTTCAGCACATGTAGAGATGCCAAACTTGTTTAAAAAATGGTCCTGGCTCTTGCCAAGGGGTGACATTAGGGAAGTTATATGGAGCACGGCGAGCCCTCGGGATGAGATCCTTGTTTGTGCACACAGCCAACAGTGGCATTTGTTTCCACGGTGCCATTAAAGGATAACAGAGAAGGAACAAAAGGGCGTAAGCGATTCCACGAGTTCCCCTACAAAGTGGTTTTAAGGTGTCCATGTTTCTCAGTAACTCTAAAAGGGACCCGCCCAAGGAGGTGGTTCCACCCTGGAATGAGGGGGGCACTTGCTTTCTCGCACTGTCTCTGGCTTCCTGGAATCTGCCCTTCTAACCTCAGCAAGCGCATAGCTCTGCAGGCTTCATGTCTGTCTTCCGTCCCTGCTGCCACAGGAGTTGGTGCTCACACCAGAGGTGTTCTAGGAAATTCCTGAGCACTAATGAATCATCAGAGCTAAAAGGATTGTGGATTTCTACCTTGTTTCACATTCCGTCTTCACTGGAAGCCATCTGTGTTCAGGGTGCGGTTTGAGGCTTTGAGGCACCTGGCTTATTTGGTTGGCCTCCTCCAGGGCGCTCAGATCCCTGTGCAGCCAGAGGGGGCAGCCGGTAGAAGCCATCACCACAGCTCCCTCCTGTTTCACGTGTCCTGTGTAGAAATGCAGTGAGTGTTGTTCAGCAAGGGAGGCTCTGTCCCCATGTTTGGGTGTTGTTGACAGTTGTCCTCTTGCCATTAGCTGTACAGTGCAGAACAAGGAAAATGTAATAATGGAGCCAGAGCTAAAAGCCCCTTCAACCTCAGCCTAGCAAAAGTGAGTTTTTTTCCCCTCTTCCTTCTTTTTTTATTCAATGTAATAAATAGTACTTTCAAAATACTAATTCTGAGTGCTTTTCAAATAGTACTCCATTTATTCCTTATAACATCTGTATTGCTATTCTCCCTGTTTTATAGATGAGGAAACAGAGGCATAGGCAGATTCAGTTACTGGCCTTGGGTCATACTACAGTTGGCTGTAGTGGAGCTGAGGTCAGAGCCCAAGTACTTGGCTCTGTTGTCTGTGTTCTGAAACCCTGCTCTGGGAGGTAAATGCTATTGGCTATGGCAGGGTAACTTTTACAAACCTCTGTCTCCGTTTGAACTGACCACATGTGACCAGCAGCTGCTCTGTGTGACAGGGCAGCGTAGAATCTACTGAATGCCTTGGTATCTCCTGGGATCCAGCACGTTCTGAACAGTCTCTGAGCCTCCTGGGAGCCTGGCAGTGGTGCTGAGCTCTGCGAGAGGGAGCGGGGAACTCCCACCAGGTGCTCCAAGTCAGCAGAGAAAGGTGTTTTTAGCTAAGGAGGAAGAGCGTTTAATGAGTTTGAGAGGTAAAAGAGTCAGAAGGTGAGATGAAGTGCCTACTGGGTTTCCAGAACTGTTTGAAGGGAAGGAACATGGCACTTGGAAAGGGTGGAGCCATGCCTGACCGTCCCAGGCCCGAGAGATGTGTGAAGCATGTGCTGGCAGCAGGACTAAGCCCGGGTGGGATCCGACATGTGGGAGGCCAGGTAGCTTGTCGGGGAAGAGTTCTGTACTCTTGGTTCCCACCTTGGCTCAGGAAGTAGGGCAGCACTGGTGCTTTCCCTCTTCAGGCTCTTTTCTTTAGAAAGAGTTCTGCAGGAGCCATATAGTAAAGGGGTGCCTAGAGGAAGACAAGGCATGGAAATCTTCCTCTTCAAGTTGAAATTCCCAGCTTATTCTTTGCTTGGTCCCGCCTGGTTCTGAGGATGGGTCCATACTTCCCTCGCCTGTTCCGGCCACTCTCCCACCTGCTCCTTCGCGGCCTGCAGAACCAAGGCCAGGACAGTCACCGCTGTCCTCCACAGACTGCCAGCGTTGGGGCAATGACAGTGAACTACTCCCCCTCCTAGCAAGTGCCGCCTGTTGCTTTGCAAAGCATCTGCTCAGCAAATCCGTGTGAGCTGACTGAGCTTCTGGATTGAGGCACAAGCCTCCTCTTTAAACAACACAGCCGTGTGGCTGTGTTGGAGGCAGTGTCTCGCTGGAGTACCCATGGGTTTGCTTCAACAGTGAAACCTTTGTCTGTACCCAGCGCCTCTGCCTCTGAGGTCGAGAGGCCCTCATGACCCTTTGTCTCTGGGAGTCCAGATTTCCTAATGCAGGGCTCTTTCAAACATAGAAAGCAAGATTGAGTCAATAGGTGAGCTCATGCTTTGTTGGCACAGAGGCATCGCAGTGTTGATCGACTCATGGGAACGAGAAGGCTTCTGTGCCTCTTGCTTGTAATGCGGCCACTTCCTTTCTCCGGTGGACACAGGCCTTCCCAGTCAAAGGACAGTCTTGATGTTCCCTTAAGGAATACAGTTGGGGTATTGTGTGTCTGACCTTTAGTTTCTTCTCACACTGAAACACTTTTTCAGACCTGCGAGGAATTTTACCTTCCAGACGGATTTGTCAAACAAGCGGTAGTAACATATTTAACTTGTGGCCAGTGACCTACAGTGACATTCCCTTTCTTTAGCACTTGAATCATACCAACAGAAAAAGCAAAGCTGCAGGTGCTGGTTCCTGTCCTTCTGGGGTGGGAGAAGTTAGTTTGATCTCCCACATCAGCAGACAGCGATGAGATCACACACACACACACACACACACACACACGAGTCCAAAACTAACAACACAACGGTGTTTACCTTGAGCTCTGGCAGGAAATCATTATTCAATCTGGTTTGTTTTATCAGGCAATTCCAGGGCCACACAGACGGAGCCAGCTGTATTGACATTTCTAACGATGGCACCAAGCTCTGGACGGGCGGCTTGGACAACACGGTCAGGTCCTGGGACCTGCGCGAAGGGCGGCAGCTGCAGCAGCACGACTTCACCTCACAGGTGCCTTCCCCAGGGTCCACAAGCAGTCTGGATGTGTCGTCCTTCCCATCCCATGACGGCCGTAGCCAGACACACAGACTGGGGCTCATTTTGAGAGAACTGATTTTTTTTTTTTTTATAACAAACAAGCAAAATCCCTGGAATTCTTGCAGTGAGTTTTAAAACCTTGTAGGTTGAAATATGTTAGCTGCTTTACTTACAGATACATTTGTTGAAGGGATGCAGACAGTGGAGAAGATAACATTTTCCTTCAGCAGCCCTTGGTACAGATTGTCACCATCTGAAGTGGGTGCGAGAGATGGATATTTGATTCCCATATAAGTAGAGCTTGAAAAGTATTCAGAATGTCACTAGGAGCAGAGGAAAATCATGACAACTGCAAAAGTTAATTTATTTCTCCTGCCTCAGAGAATTTAAAAATAGGTAGAGGTATCTTGGCGGATGCCCATTTTGTTACTGATCCCTTAAAAAAGGGATTCATGGCTGCCTGGTAATTGTGAAGTTTTAGAATAATACAAAAATGGCAACTTTGTAAATTGTGAAAAGTACTTAGATGTCAAATGCTTGAATCTAGACTTCTTTTGCTTGCCATTGAAAGTGCTTTTTGGTAATAAAAATAATTCAACTTAGAAAAATAGGACAAAATTGGAAAACAATTACACATACAATTTCACTTCCGTATTAACATTTCATTTTCTTAAAGTCTTCCCTGTTCTACTCCTTTCCTAACATGAGTAGTTCACTACTTTTGGCCTTAACTGATTATGAGAATTCAGAAAATGCTCAAGCATATGTGAAAATGTAAAGAATTACACCCCATGCGCCTGCCATTTGGCCAGTGGTAGGAACGTGACCCATCCTATCTCTTCTATTCTGTTATCTCTACCCTTAAACCTTATATTATTTTAAAGTAAATCCCAGATAGATTTTCCTTCATCTGTGTTTCAGTTAATGTCTCTAACCGATAAGGACTCCTTTAAAACACACACACAATAATACCATTATCATTAAAAACAGTTCCTTAATTTCATCACCTATGATGTAAGCGTTCACATTTTTCCAGTTGTTTCATAATGGCTTGGGATACTTGGTCTGTCTGGGTTGGCTCCCTTGTCTCCTGGACTTCTCCACACCCTGGAATTGCCTGATTATTTCCTATGTTCTTGCTGACCATCCCCTCCTCCTCTGCCCCTCCACTGCCCCTACCTTCTTGCTTTACTGGGCAAAATAAGCAGTGAGCCGCTTCTGCTTCTCACAGATCTTCTCCCTTGGATACTGCCCAACGGGGGAGTGGCTGGCCGTGGGCATGGAGAGCAGCAATGTGGAAGTCCTGCACGTGAATAAGCCTGACAAGTACCAGCTGCACCTCCATGAGAGCTGTGTGCTCTCCCTGAAGTTTGCCTATTGTGGTGAGTTGAGCAGAGAGGAAACTGGAGGCTGCTGATGGCCTAAATGGAAAATACTTCTAAAAAAAATCTGGTAGAGATCATATCTGGAAAAAATGTTGTTCTGCAAGCAGCTGGATGCAATAATTCTATTGTTTTAATATGTCCCTCCAAGCATAGTGATGTCTGTTTCAGTCTGTTTTGCTAATTTGAGAAAAGTCAGCAAGCGATAAAATTGCCCAATACAAGGCTTAGACACATACTTGTTTGTGGTGGGGGTGGAGGGCAGTTTGTTACTTCCCTGAAGTGGCTGGAAATTTATAAAAGGATGGGTCAGGATCGATGGAAGTCGTTGTGAACTGGCCACAAGCCAGGAACCCAGGACCAGAAAAGGGAATATTTAGCTGCACCCACACTCAGCTCCTATACTGAGGGAAGAAGTTCATGTGGCAAATACTCTTGTGCGTTGCAAGCTGTCAGATTTGGAAGGTATGGGTGGATAGCTGCCACTTACTGAGCACATCTATCCGGCATATAACATTACTGGCATTTTCCTCAAGTTCAACATTTAACCCTTCCTAAACCTGTTGATACCATAAGGAGTCTAAATAGAATAGGTTTACTGATTTAGTATTTGAAGGCCTACAGTGTGCAGGAAGTAACGCTGCAAGTCATGTTGGGAGTGACCTGTGAGGCTGACGGCTCCTTGATTATACCCACGATGCGCAGAGAATGCACCAAGGAACCCAGAATAAAAACCTCCACTTAAATTGCAGAGCAACCCTGTGGGCAGCATAGTTCGTGTCTTAAAAACACTCAGTTTGATTAAATCCACTTTGCTAGTAGTACAGGAGGAATTTTAATCTTGCCGAAACTAACTGTCCCTTTGCTAATTCCAGGTAAATGGTTTGTGAGTACTGGAAAAGATAACCTCCTCAATGCTTGGCGGACTCCTTATGGAGCCAGTATATTCCAGGTAAGTGTCTGCTCCTTGCCTGGAAGCACAGTTGGATCACTTTGAAACGAGAAGGGAAGGTGCCTCCGAGGGAGCAGTTCCTCATTAATTGCATGCCCACCGTCTTCTCTTCCAGTCCAAAGAGTCCTCGTCTGTGCTGAGCTGCGACATCTCGGTGGATGATAAGTACATAGTGACTGGCTCAGGGGACAAGAAGGCTACAGTCTATGAAGTCATCTACTGAAAACGTTATGTGGTTTCACGTTTATAGTTGAATTGGGCCAAAATGTTTTGAATTTGTAGAAATAGAAAAGTTGTAACTTTAAAGAGAAAAAAAAAACACAAAAACTTGTTTCCAGACTTTGACATGACACGACTTTGGGTCTACGAAGAGGAGACGAGGAGTCTGTCCATCCAGCAGAAGGTCAGCCATCTACCCAAACTGAGTGGAGCACCGAGGCCATGTGGACAGAGGGCAGAGGAGCGGAACCAGCCGGCCGCCGTGGAGCCTGCTGTTGTCTTTTGGGCACTCCGTCAATCACGCCTGCCCGAGTGTGAGATAATCTTTCTGTTCCTTGCAGTTCACCTCATGTTCTGTCCTTCGTAGAGCAGTGGTGTCTCCGATGAACTTGTTTCCTGGTTTTGCATCTTGTGAAAAATTTTTTTTTGTATTTTTGTTGAAGGTTAAACATTTGTATAAATTGTAAATATATTTGGTTTATTACAGTAAAGGCTTTAGTACCAATAAGTGGTTTTTCCTTTTCTTTCTTTATTATTTTTATCAAAGTTTTGGGATCACTGATGTGGGTTTTATAACTGGAGTCCGTGCATCCATTTATAGAGAAGTTTAAATGCATTTGCTATTTTATAAGTATATTTGGTCCTGGATTCCCACTTCATTAGAGCTGTAGCCATCAAGCACTTCTGAGTTACCAGAATTCTGAATAATCAGAGGTGTGTTAATGACAGTTTTATTTAGGAAGCTAAAATTACTTCATCAGGACTCATCAGGATTTTTGTTACAAGACTCTGGTGATTCAAGGTCACAAATTTAAAGCTCTCCTTTTTCCTGGTGATTCATCAGAAAGTAGAATGTTCTTTTCTCTAGAAAGGCCCAGTCTTTTCAACTCTGTGTCCTCTCCTCAAGTTTGACCTTTCAAAAAATGTAGGGTTTATGTTAGGGTTTTTATTTTGTGTGTGTGTGTGTTAGGATTTATGATGGTCAGAGGGCTGTAGACTCCACTAACCTATAAAAGAATGGGGGGAGTCAGCTGCTTTTGTATTCAGCAATATTTTTTAAAGATTTATTTTATTTATTTGAAAGGCAGAGTTAGAGAGAGAGAGAGAGGGAGGGAGGAAGGGAGGGAGGGAAAGAGGGAGAATCTCTTCTTGCAGGTTCACTATCCAGATGGCTGCAAGAGCCACAGTGGGCCAGGCTAAAGCCAGGAGCCAGGAATTCCATCTGGGTCTCCCATGTGGCAGAGGCCTCTGTTCTTGGACCAGCCTCTGTTGCTCTCCCAAGCACATTAGCAGGGAGCTGGATTGGAAGCAAAGCTGTTGGGACTTGAACGACATTCTGATGAGGGATTCTGGTGTCACCTGCAGCAGCTTAACCCAGTGCACTGTAACAATGGTCTCATCAATGTGTTTTGATCTAACTTAGCCCCATTCTTAATAAGGCTCTCCTTGCAGCTCTAGCCTGTGCATCTGTTGTGAATCTTTGGCAGTTATCACTGTGGACAAGCTTGTACTAATTTGAATGAAATTTATAACTGTGAGTTTTTAATAAGTTATCAAGAATATTTTCTCCTGAAAAGGCAACATGCCTTATTCTTTATATACCTGTTACTTACTGTCAATTTTTTTTAAGAAGAGTGGCTAGTCATTTTAAGCTAGTGTTCCCAGTTATTTAAAAATAGCACATGAGGAATTGTTACTATTTTTGTTTTCTGGTGATCTGGCAAGTTGTTGGCAATTTGTCCTAATATTTTTCATTTGCTATCAAGGCCTACTTGATTTTAAATACTTAAATACATTACTGTGTTTGCTTTTTGCCAAAACACATTTGTTTATATACAGTTTGTTAAATATTTGCACTTCTCATTAAGTGAATGGCAAACCCCTAATTACTAAAGCTGATTTCTCTCCTTCCATACTATAGAATGAAGTAGGTTTCTATACTACAGACTCTTATAGCTTTTAAAAAATGATTAATTTATTTTTATTTATTCAAAAAGCAGAGACATAGAAACAAAAATAAATTTTTCCATCCTCTGTTTCACTCATCAAATGGCTATGATAACCAAGGCTGTGCCAAAACAAACCCAGGATCCCAAAACTCAGTCTGCATCTCCCACTTGTGTGGCGAGGACACAAGTACTTGAGCTGTCATCTGCTGCCTTCCAGGGTGCATTAGCAGGAAGCTAGAATCAGAAGTGGAGCACTCTGATATCAAATGTGAGTGTCCCAAACACTTTGTTAATCACTGCGCCAAAAGCCTGCTCCTCTAATAGCTTATTCACCTACTCCTTACCTTTGCTGGTCTCTCTCCTTCCCTGCCCTACCTCCCTGCTTTCTTTACTAGTGAGAGGAGGAGGGAGGGAGAGAGAGAGAGATCTTCCATCTGCTGGTTCATTCCCCAAATGGCTACAACTGCTGGAGCTGGGCTGGTCTGAGGGCAGGAGCCAGGAGCTTGTTTTAGGCCTCCCATGTGGGTAAAGGGATCCTAGCACTTGGGTGCGTTATCAGGGTGCTGGATTGGAAATGGAGCAGCTGTGACTTGAACCAGCGCCCATATTATGGGATGTCGGCACAACAGTGGCTTTACCTGCTGGGCCACAACGTTGGCCCTGAAATCTCAATTTCAACTTATCCTCCAGTCCAGGAATCTCAATCTTGACTAATCCTCTGGTGATTCTGAGCAGACTGAAGTTTGACAACATCTCTGGAACCATGAACCCAATTAAGAATAAATCATTTAACTACTTAAGTGCTAGAATCAAACACATAAGCAAAGAAGATTTGCATGTCTGCAGAGAAAGGTGCGTGGGGCAGACATGGCCATTGTAGCTGCTTCATCCTGTTCAGGGGACCCTGAACCTGTGGTGATGTGATGATTTCACTGAGAGTGAAGAGAGGGCATTCCTAGGAAGTGGGTTCCCAGCAGCCAAAATGGTTTGAAACATCACCGTGCAAACTTCTACCTGATGACAGAGGCAGCAGTCTGTCTTGGTGGAATCAAACATGTTGATCCTGCCTTTCAAATAAATAATAAAAGCTTTTTTAAAAAAAAAAATGACATTTCTAGTCTTAGAGTTTATTTTCAGTAGGTCAAGGTGGGATTTTAGAATTTGAATTTCTTTTTTTAAAAAACATGTTTGCCTTTTAATTTCATTTTTCTACAAATATTTGTTTATTTGAAAGGCAGAGTGACAGAGACAAAGAGAGGTCTTCTGTCTGCTGGTTTCATTCCCTAAATGGCCACAGCAGCTAGGTCTAAGCCAGGCAAAAGCTAGGAGCCAGAGACTTCATCCTGGTCTCCCACATAACGTGACACGGGCCCAAGCATTTGGGTAATCCTGCATTACTTTCCCAGGTGCATTAGCAAGGAACTGGATCCCAAGCAGTGCAGAGAGTCAACCAGTGCTCATATATGGGATAAACCACTCAAAATGATTTGCATTTCTAAGATAGATTCCTTTGGGGTCTTTAAGCCATACCTGGGTAGTGGCCAATATAGAGCAGTGATCTTTATAATATAGTGTAGAATTTCTTTAATTAAAAACTCAGAGTGTATTCACATTCTCTTAAGACTAGAACTCTTCTGTATTTTAGGCTTTAAGCTTGAGGACTAAAAGGAAAATGACATTAAAGTTCAAGGCTTACTGTTTTGAAGTTTTTTGTTCTCACAGCCTCAGTTCCCAAAACTAACATTTGAAGTAGAATATTTTAATTCTAAACTTAAATTGAGTTCTTAAAAAAATTACTTCTTTGCATGGACATAATTCAAAGCAATGTGAATCTTTCTGGGTTTAGAAAATGTACTACGATGAATTAATGTGACAGAATTTTCAAGAATGAGGGGCCAGCGCTGTGTCATAGTGAGTTGAGCCTCCGCCTGTGGCACCGGCATCTCATATAGATGCCACGACCCCTCCCCCCATTTAGTTTTGTTCTACTTTAGATTCATTCTTCAAAAGTATCCTGAAAAAAAGTCTGTGTTGATCATTTATTCCATCTTTAAAATCAATGGATGTTTGTCCTAATAATTCGAGAAAATTGTTTCATTGAAAAAGAAACTTGATAGTTTCTTTTAGACACTCAAAGTGAATGGCTAATTTCCTTTTTAGGTTTGTCTTGTATAAACTTGTGTCTTAAATATTAAGAATCTATAGTTCTAAGAATAATTGCATTAATCATCTGTGTTACCTTCTTCTTTATCAAAGGGCTAATTTAGAAACCCCAGTGAAGGTAACTCTTAATAACACATTAAAAATAGGTATCTACATTCTATCTCTATATTATTGTTATTTAAAATGAAAAATTCTGGGGCCCGCACTGTGGCATAGTAGGCTATGGTGCCTGCATCCCATATGTATGGACTCCAGTTCGTGTCCTGGCTGCTCTTCAGATCCAGCTCTCTGCTTATGCCCTGGGAAAACAGTGGAAAATGGTTCAAGTGCTTGGGCCCCGGCACCCACGTGGGAGAATTGGAAAAGCTCCTGGCTCCTGGCTTTGGATTGGTGCAGCTCTGGCCATTGTGGCTATTTGGGGAGTGAACCAACCAGCTGATGGAAGACCTTTCTCTCTGTCTCTCCCTCTGTCTGTCTGTAACTACCTCTCAAAGAAATAAATTAAAAAAAATGAAACGTTCTTCCTTAGTCACACCAGTAATATCCTACTTATAATGAGAGCACACTCTAGAAACAGCGCAGTGGGCACTATGTTGTTAGGAAGAACACTGTGTTTGAGATCAAGTCCAGAACAGATACGGATCCTAGGTGTGATATGTATTTATTATTTCTTTATAGTCTTAGACAACTATGTTTGTGTTTGTTGAAATAAAGGTTCCTACCTCACAGGGTGGCTAAAAGGATTAATTGAGATTCTTTGTTTAGAGATTTGAATGGGATGCTGGTCATTCATTTCTTTGAGGAGTTGATACATTAGGCATGGTGTTTGGTTGAGTAAATGGCTAAGGGCAGACTTTAACAAAAGCTTGCACCTTATGACACTAGCACCATTGAAACTTTTAATTATTCTATCTGAGGACATCTGTGATTGTGTGAAGTCAGGCCTCAACACGGGGACCCTGTGAACTAATCATCTTTTCGTAGAAATAATCAAATTCAAATGTTACCCTCTGAAAAGGTAATTTAAAAAAAAAATTGCCACACTCTGAAGCATGCCTAGATTGTCAGAGTGTAGCAGGCTTGTTTCAGTCTTGATACGGTAGGTTGACAACTGGTGTGTGGTCACTGCATAGCTTCTCAGCTCTGGGAAAAGATGCTAGTGGTGTCAGTAACTGATTACTTAATATATCAACTTGGAGGATAGTCTTCGTTTCCAAGAACAATAATCACCCAGACCACTCTAGGGATAAAATGTGTATTTCAGTGTCCTTTAGCTTTCTGGTGACATTTATCTCTTTTTTTCTTTTGTCATTTGACTGATTTTTTTTTTTAAGAATTATTTTATTTATTTGAAAGACAGAGTTACAGAAAGAGGTAGAGGCAGAGAGAGAGAAGA